GTTTTTCAGTCAGTCAAATGTTTTGGTTTATCTCAGGTAAATGTGTGACATCAATCAGATAAAAATGGATGTAGAATTGGGATATGATAAAAGAGCATATTATTACCGTGGTTCTCATAATAAAGGATAAAAACTCTAGGTCATCTTTCAAAATTAAAATTACACCACCTTCAAACGTTGCATTTATTAAAAAACGAGAAACGTTATAAATGTCGATGGTGTACTTCGTGAATTTAAGGGGTGACCTGTTTTTTTTATGCAATCAGGAAAAAACCTCAAAGGAGGTTTGTAATTAGCCTTACTAGTCTGTTTCTATAAGGTGTCATTATTTAACAAGTCAAATTAACCTTAAAGAGCAGGAGAAAAGGAAAAACATCATAAAAATATAATATAAATTAAATCTAGCTCAGGTACAAGCATGTCACCTGTGCCTGCATTTTTTTAGTAGACTCAGCACCGGCCACAGCTGCCTCAGCAGAAAGAACAAAAGCCTCAACGGGGTCAACTCCAGCAGCCAATTTCTGTGCATTAAAGGTCATTTCTAACTTGAAATGCCCTTCAATAACATATGGAGAAGATGAAAAATGATTTGCTTCTAACCTCTTTAAGAAAAGAAGATGCAGGAATAAGAGCATCCAACAATGTGCGGTAGCCTTGTTTGGCTCCTCCATACTTACTGACTGCAGCAAGACCAGCATCAAATGCACTAGCCCCTAAATCGATAAGATTTGTTTTATAACAACGCTGAGAAGTATAATATAATCGACAAAAAATAATAACTGTTGAACTAAAAGCTGTTTTTGTTTTTCAGTAGGTCATCTCACATTGTACTGCTGTGATGCCCGACTCACTATTGGCTTTCAGATCAGCATATGCTGTCTTAATGAATATGTTGTATCTGTTGACCGAAAAAACAAAAAAATAAAATAAAATAAAATAAAATAATCATTAATCCAGATACACAATCAAGTATAGTGTGAGAGTAATTAAAGACGAAAAGTACTAACATGATGCCACTGGTTCCACCCATGACTTTTCTTATGGAATTTCCAATTTCACTGATAGTCTCAGCAGGGTCATTCAGTGGATAACTGGAAAGTAGTATTTATGGGCAAAGCGGTAAGAAAAATATCACTTTTAATTATTCCAATATTAGTCAATACATATTACTTTTATTTAAGTTAGAGAAGTAAAAATTAAGAGAGACGCCAAGTAAAAATGAAGAGAATCAGGCAATAGCAAACAATTCACAAGAGTTTTGGAACAAAATCTTACACGGACAAAAATGACATGAATGTTCATTACAGATAAGTTGATGTAGAGCGTAGTACGATTGGGAATAGAATAAAATGAGATACTCTCAAGAACGAACGAACAAAAAAACAACTTAATTTAGTACAATGTTTAACACAAGTATGAATTTGTTAATCAGAAAGAAAAAAGAACCTCATATCACTTTAAGCAAATTATAAAACACAGAAACGCGCAGAAGGAAGCATCTAAAAGAAAAATGAGCGAAATGCCAATGGCATTTCAACTTTCGCGACCAGATAACCAAGCAAAGAAAAAATAACAACTAGTAAACAAGCATTTATTCAAATCACCAAGAAGTTTAAGGTGGTTCCCATGCGTTCTGAATGCACAGAACACTGTATCGATCAAAATCACAGTCCATCAAGCTAAAGGACTGTCAAGAATTAGCAGTACAAACATGTAAGGAAATATACAAAAGAAGAAATCAGAATCAGATAGTATACATTCCAATTAAAAAGTATAATCAATTACTGATCACAGAGTGCATGTCTAGTACGAGGAAGGGGAGCCATAAAATAAACGCTCACCATTTTTTCAAGTCTATGAGAACAGCTGAAGCCCCTTTGAACATCTATATTATCACAAGAAATTAGATTGGTATATCGTATGAATCCACATTTCTAAGAAGCAAGAAGAATAAATATAATTGATCAGAAGTCAGAACACTCACTGTTGATCCGCAATCACCATCGCCAACTACACCATCCCATTCATTCAAATTGTCCCTAAGACTGATAAGTTCATTCGCTGCTGCTTCAATAGCCAACTCAAGAATATGCCCTTCAGGACTAAGCTGCTCAGGCCGAATTGGTGGCTAACAAAACAGCGAAAGACCAATAATAAGCGGTAAGGTTAAAACGGTTTGTTTCGGGAAAGTAAAATGTGTCGAGAATAAAAACAGAAACCCAACTTATTTGTATTTCAGTAATAAAGAGCATACAAAGAAACACCCCATGAATTTTGAATCTCAAATTAAACCTGAAATATCATGATGTATTTTCCTATAGCAGGCTGAATGTAAGATCGTAAAGTTCATAGTCAAACAATATTAACTATTTAAAACAGTGGGCAATAAGCACAACAGAAATCAAGGTATATCCTAACTTTGACAGGTTATCATTAGCTGATACTGGTTAAGCTACACATACACATTTAAGTAAAAGTGGCATCTAATTGCAAAAGCCATTATATAAGTGATAAATGGGCATGGGTAGAACGCAACCCAAAAGCTAGCTCAGAGGGAGAGGGTGCCCAACCCACACTTATACACAATAACAACTCAGTAACTAATTGATGTGGGACAAACATAACTTCTAACACTCGCCCTCACACACAGCGTGCCAAACAAAATGGGCTGGGTCCAAAATCCAACATCACCTCCAAACAAACAAACCTGGTAGCTCTGATACCATGATAAATGGGTCTGTCTAGAACTCATCCCCAAAAGCTAGCCTTAAACAAAGAGAGTGTCCAACCCACACTTATACACTATAAAAACTCAGCAACTAATAGATGTGGAACAACGTAACTTCTAACAATAAGAATGCGAAAAAATGTCACATAATAAACGTCTCACAACCACATGCAAAAGGTTTAATCAAGTTCATCCAGAATGGTAGCAATTAGAAAAGAATACACTATCACAAAACTCAGTGATGAAACTGTGGTGCTACTGACAATTTGTAGAAAACTTGACCATGTTCAAGTGAGTGCAATTCACAAAGGAGTAAATTGTCACAAAATACCTCATCATTGTTTTTCGAACGAGATGGTGGAATAGGAACAGGAATCTTAGCAGGTGGGTGGTCACCTGACATCAATATTGTTTATCCATTATAAGAAAAATGTAACAAATTTGCAGATGAGAAAAATCTTTCATAATGATATATAAACCTCCAACATAGGCAAAAGTCTAGAAGATTAACATGCAAATGTATGAATTGCTACGAATATTGACACTCACCGTCAGTAGCAACAGGCCAATTTGGAGCCTTAGTTGGGGCATCCAAACGCTTCAAAACTGTTTGGTCAGCCTTCATCACACTTATCGAAAATCCTGAAAGCAAAAAGAAATAAAATGAAAAAGGGGTCGTTGTCTCACAAGAATTTGTCTGTGCATTAACAAACCTGCCATGTCTAGAGAGGTCATAAATGACCCAGTATACACTCTCTCAACAGCAAGTCCATGTTCCAGCTGCAGTCTAGGAACAGTCTTTCCAGCAGCAATCATCAGTTCCATGAGAGGAGTGGCCCCTAATCTGCATGCCAAAGCAAATAAGGAAAAAATTAAAATCAAAATAAACTTTAAAAGGAAATCAGCAGAAACAAAAGTGACATGTGATCAATAAGATTTGCACTAGCAAGTACTTCACAGGAATGACAAAGCTCAAACCATAATGCAAAGAGGCACATGCAATAGCTAAGGACTAACCCATTAATCATAACCACGACCCTGCTGCCTCGAGTTATAGGAACATAATTTGTTTCCTGCGGAACATGATAATCACAAGATAATGCCAGTCTATAGTTAAACAACTAAAAAGGTAGGAAAATTTGCCAAATAGGCAAATACTGATTATAAAATTGGAAATTCTAGATCTCAAGTGGTGGATTTATTACTCTAATTATTATTAACAAAAAAATAATATAATAATATATATATATAAATAGAATTGAAAGAAATATCATTTCTTGTTAATATTTATCAACCTCTCTTTCTTGGGTGATATCATTTAATAAATGAATAGATTATAATTGCCCGACAAGCAACATCCAATGGACTTAAATTATAGCAAAATTATCCAACTTCAGCTCATTCGGCACAGGGGTGAAGAAAAGCAAAAGAAAAGCCTAAAAGGAACAAAAAAAACACATTAATAGACTACAATTTTATGCCCCTAAAAAACCAGCAGTGAGTTCTTCAAATTAAAGTTATTTATCATTATATCTTAATAATCAAAACATAAGTCCAAGAATTAGTGGGTTACCTGTGACAATATTTGCTTCAAGACATGGGAAACCACAATGTCAACAGGCTGGATGTCAGCCACGGCAGCACCTGGTTCTCCATGCTGATATACAAGGGAGAGCGTAAAGATCACTTCAACTAGGGGTGACATTCAGTTAGCAGCAACTAATTAATTTATTTATTTATTTTTAACAGTAACTGATGAGATTACTTCACTTACAGTTAGGAGGATCAAAACCCTTGTACTTCCAACATACAGAATTGGTTCCAATGAAACAGAAAAGATTTTGAACAAGCAAAGGCCTACTTGGAACTTAAAGTGTTCAGAAACACAACTTTTGCAAGTCCAATTCTCATGACTGCATCCAACATTTCAAACATTTCTAAACAAATCTAATTGCTTTAGTTTAACACAATCGTGTGATGAAAGAATTAACTCACAATTCCAAGGCCAAGCTCCATCTTGCCAGGGCCTAGGCGATCTGAAGGCACTTGACCGGGCAACGTGCAAACTGATAGTGCAACACCCATTGTCCCTACCATTTCTGATGCCTGTTTAGCTTCAGCAGCAACTTCTACTAAAGAGAGCCCGGCAGCAGCAGCTGCCCCAGCAACCTGTGGTATGCAATGACACTTCCGATCAAAACAGGAACAGAAGTAAAAATGATTTTGCAGTTGGTGTTAACCAACTCAGCCATCATAAATTAGGGTTAAATAAATGCAACAAAGAAGATATGCTCGACATTTCTGAAATGAACAATTGATAATTAAAAAAATTATATATCAGATAAACAGAACCAGGATATTTCAAACAGCTTCTGGCATGATCGCATCATTTGAAAGGCAAATTTTCATTCTGGAAATTTTTCAAATTGACAGCGTTTGTTTACATTAATATTAAGCAAATGAGTACATCATCAGCATCATTTATGTCACTCTTTAACAAATATTGGTATTGAAAGATACTTTTGTACTTTCCGACCCCAATCCATGAAATCCAAATGACATGAAACCAACAGAGCGGTTATTACTTGCTTCTATATAACCTAGGATCTCCTTTCAAGCATATTGACAATGTTAATTAAAAACAGTCAAGTTTTATGCATATATATACCTCAATTACTGCTTCCAGAACATATGAATGCAGAAACTTCTAGATATAACAAATAGCTTAATGAAATAGACGAGAGAATATAATTGTAGTGGGGGGAAGGCAAAAGAAGTCAATCAGGATGAACAAACTATGAAGTATTCAAAGGTAAAAAATGCAATTATACACTAGTCACGTGATATAGAAGCACAAGGTACAATAGAGGAAAGACATTATACCAACCTTATGAACAAGAATGGTTCCAGCTAAACCTCTTCTTCCAGCTATACCTCTTGGAGGCGGTAGAGCACAGTCATCACCAACAATTACCATCTGTGGACAGAAACCCTCATATTTTCATGTGAGTGAACCAGTAAATTTGAGATTAAGCCATTCATCTATGTAGAAAATGTCATACCTCCACTTTAAAACCTTCAGATTTAGCCAACTCAGCTGCTAAACCAAAATTTAAACGGTCACCTGTGTAATTCTGTCATGAAGCATAAAAATGTATCATCGGGATCAGGAAATTCACTAGAAAATTTTGTAATACTATCAAGTACACATTTACAGCCTACAAGCATAATGATTCCCTAAATCCTGAATGTAGTAAGCAATGTATTTGGGGTCGGCCTAAGTTCACCAGGTCAGAGGCTTTAAATGATACCCAACAATACTATTCTGCATTAAATTATGAAAAAATCCAAGAAAAAAAAAAGGAAAAAGAAAATGAAGAGAGCCAGACAGTTGGTTCGGCCTGGCTGGAAAATGTGCCAGGAAAACATTGGCAGTAAGGCAAACAACTTGAAATATACATAATCCATGTTAAACTTGATAATTTTCACATAGTAACTCACAGTTACATAATAAATTAAGTAAATTGTAAAATCAAAGTTAATCATATGTGACTGGTGATAAATCAATTCATCAAAATCACAGGTGAATATACCTTGACAATCAGCAGGCATCCCAAAGGACCAGTAACAGCTCGTATGCCCTGATGCAAAAACTTTCCAAATGATTATCTGAAGGAAGATGAAAAAAGAAAACCACAAATGTTTTTTAAAAGAGAAATGATGGTTTCTGTTAAAGGGAAGTTAACATACTGCAAGAATGGAGTCAACAGGAGGAGAGGCAAAAATATCACCACATATTGCAGCCGTCAGCATTCCTTCTCCAACAAATCCAGCATGAGCCGGCTCATGGCCACTTCCCCCTCCTGCATGTTTGCAAACCATCATCAGGTTCAGTAGACTCTTAAGCACTCTAAAAGTTGCTTATATCATCTATCTAATAATTCATGCCATCTGACAGAAAAGTAAGGAACGCATTCAATAATTACACTTTAAGATAAAGCTAAATTTGGTCTTTAGCTATATCAGGAGAATATGAGCAAGGGAAGCCAAGAGATGAAATGTTCACAATCTTCAACAGTCAACCCAAAGTTTGCTTCAACAATGGAGTCCGAGATAAATATATTTTTGAAAAGAAAAGGACCAACAACTATATCCGTTAATGTTATCGGGAAAAAAACTGAGTCAAAGATTTTGAAATGATATTACAATAACAAACCTAACCGCAAGAAAAGGATAACATTTTACACGAAGCATCGTCAAATAGTATAGCAACCAACAGTAATCACATGTATTTATAATGCATACTAAAACGGCCAAACAGGGGACGCAAGTATTTCCCACCTCATCTGTAAACATGTAATGTTATTAACCAAGAGCACAAATAAGTACAAACTTAACAGCAGTTTATGATGTTTCGGACCTGATATAACAGCCACTTTGTCATATGTGTCTCCAGATACATCAGCACGTATAACAACTTTAACCTACATACAAAGGCATTCCACATCGTGAGATGGAGACAGTGTGCATAAAACAACAAAGGTTGTAAGCACAATAAAGAAGGATAAAAAAATTGTCATATAGTAATTACATCAGGAAAGCCGTCCAAATACTGCAAGCCTGGATAGGTTTCCACCAGCCCTTCAATGAACTCTGTCACAACATCTGTAACCCAAAATGGACACAAAACAAATCCAACACTCATAAATGTGTGAAGCAGGACAGGCATTGAAAAACATAAAACCTTATATGTGTATGCATTCCAAATAATTTCATCCAATAACTAGGAAAGAAAACTTATGAATATCTACAGAAATAACCTATAGATAGGCCGCATTTATCCTCCTCGTACAACATCATATAGCTCTTAAAATTACAATGCAGAACTCTTAAAGGAGAAGGTATTATGTTAAGAAACAAGGTACGGCTCCTAAAGCTCAACGTACAGCATATCATTCGATCACCAAAGACGCTGGTGACTGTACAGGTAAAAACTCCATAACAAATGCATGCACAAAATAAGTAAACTACTAAAGCTTCCACAAAGAATAATCCATTCAAGAAACAAGCACGAATAGAAAAAGAGAATGTATCATTAGTTCAGGTACAAATCAAGAAAACAAAATGTAGAAGAAGAAATTGGAGGAAATAACATTAAAATTCAGAGGAAAAAACAAAACAGCTGAAGGGAGGAAATATTAGTAACCGTTTGGGTTGTTGATGAGCTTCTTGCTCGGATGATCCATGGCAGAAAATGCGAGTGTACTTGAGTGATCACAAATGCCTCGGATTAGAAAAACCCCCTTTCTGGTGAGAAAATTTGATGAGGGTTTGGAAATTTTGGAGAAAAATGGCTTCTATAGAAAGTCACCTGAATGTTGAATAATTGTTGATTTTAATGGGCTTTACTTGTCCGTACAAGAAATGTATTTCAGTTTATTTTTTTATTGGAAATATCCCAAATGGAACAAATAAAATTGAAAAAAATAAAATAAAAACCACAACTAACCAATATAATTTAGAAAACCAACATTTTATGATTTTAGTATAATTCAGGAATAGTATAATAATTTTTGGGGCATAATACCTAAATTAGTAATGGAATACACGTAAAGTTGCATTCGTCTAGAATGTAAATTATATTGTATTGCGGATCATATAAATATAAGTTATATTATACAAATATAAGTTATGTAGATTGCCCAAAGTTAAATGATTTTATTTATCATTGGTTTCTCTATTAATGAAATTCGAGATAGATATCTGATTATGAATCATATATTTTAAATCTAAATTGATTACTTGAAATCTATTTTTCATGCTAGGAAACAATATGCAATGTGACATCGTATTATTAAATGAGTTGCTAAAATTTGTAATTGACTGATGAAAAAAATGCAGGGCTAAAATATAATATAATTTCCCCATTATTCCTTTCTTTTTAAAATAAAGTTTGAGTCACAAAAATAACTTGACCACCCGTTATTAAGCATATTATTGTTT